AAGCTCGGGTGGCAATCCTCCAAACTTCTTTTCCTTTAGTGCCTTTAATTCTTTTCTGGAGCTTGTCTTGAACCACTGAGCTCTAGTTGATTCCTTTAGTATATCTAGCAGGTTCTTCCAAACAGTCTCCTAGGTAATAATATTGCTGTAGAAGACTCACTTGGTTACACCCTTCTCCAAGGATTGTTTCACATAATATATCGAGCTTCTCACTCCAAGTTCCCTCAGGTATGGGTTCAGGGAGTCTGGTAGAGATAGCGGTACACCTTAAGTCACTTAAGTAACCATTCATAGCCCACGAGAAAGGATTAGCAATGATATCTTCAGAGAACAGAAGATGAGCGGGCTCTCTTTGAGCATTTAAGAAAAATATTTCTGTGGCCATTATACGAACTTCGATCACGTCAGTACCTTTCATCATTCGTTTCAGCTTCATAACATGGTTTAAAAATTGGGCGTTGACTTCTAATTGATTCATTAGGAAGATGGGTTGAGCAGAGTTAAAATTCAATCCAAGGTCAATTGACTGGGTATTTATAGAGAACGCAGTCTGTTATTATAGAGGGGCATTATATCCTTTTAACTGGTTTCCATGAATCCTCTTCTTAAGAACTCGTTTGCTTTTGATGGGCTTATTATTTAAAATGAGTTTTATCATTCTTAATTTATAAGATCCATTGCCACATACTTTGTGTATGTAGTAGGGACCTGTAAACTTTGACTCAAGCTTGGCGCTATATGACATATCTAAAGAAGTCTCATGCAGTATTACTTTATCACCAATTTGGTAAGTCTCGATCTGGTATTTCTGATCATGATGAGCCTTTTGTTTGTTTTGGGCTTTTCTAATATTTTTTTGGGCTTGGTTTCGGGCATCCTCCAGGTTTTCTAGAACAGACTCAATTCTTCAGAAAAGATAATCTTGGGTCTCGGCTTCGGTAGTTGGCTCAGCTGGATATGTTATTACAACTGTCTTAACTGATAATATAGCATCGTGGCCATAGACTAAGAAAAAGGGCTCATACTGGGTAGTATGGTACCAGGTAGTTCGATAAGCGAACAAAGCCATTGAGATAAATTCAGTCCATTTCCCATCATATTGTCCAATACATTTGGCCAGTACTTTACAAAAAGTCCTATTAAATCTTTCCACCAATCTATTGGTTTGGGGATGGTAAGCGGTGGATGTGCGACAGCGAACTTTCATCTGTTAACAAATAGCATCCACTAGTTTATTACAAAAGTGAGTACCCTGATCAAAGAGTAGCTCACGAGGACTTCCGTGGTGGCATATTATATCATCCAAAAGGAAAGAGGCGACAGATTCAGCATCAGCACTTTTAAGTGCATGGACCTCCGGCCACTTGATAAGATAATCTGTGGCTACAACTATATAATGATATCCTTCTGGTGTTTCTGGAAGCAGACCTACAATATCGATGCCAATCCGATCAAAGGGCTGACCTACTTTTATCGAATGCAATGGTTCTCGAGTCTTAGGCCTCCCTCATCTTTGACATATGTTGCAAGCTCCAATATATCGTTTTACATCGTTCCCCATCTGGGGCCAATAATACCTAATCATTATTCGTTGATAAGTTCCTTCATATCCAAAATGTCCAGCTAAGGGGTTGGCATGCATAGCATGTAGTATAGGTTTGATTTCATGAGGTTTTAGAACTCTTTGAGGCCTCTCAGGATCACGTGGGT